TTAAATGTCATAAAAACCAAAACCAAACTTTTACAAAATGAAATTCAGATGTATGTAAATGATGTTTATGTGCAACCTAACTTTGATTGAAAATATATCTTTTAACTTGTTTTCTCAACTAAGCACCATATCTTTTTGTGCTGGATTTGTCAGGATGATTTGTCAGTGAGTTGGTATTTCATTCTCACATTGGCACACTGGGGACAGTTTTTCAGAAACTCACCAGAACATGTTTTGCCTGCTACTTTCCTTCAGTCAAACATTCACAACTTATTTAGCTCCAAAATTAAAGCATTTAAGTGGCCATTTATTATGGTTTCACAAGAGCTTAAATTCTGCATGTGATATCACTATAAATACTGGATGAATCAGAACATAACCTCTCTCATAAATCATGTTGTTTATTTGTTTTCAACAGGAGCTACGTGTGTTAAAGAACTTCTCTTCATTAAAAGCCATTGTCTCAGGTTTACAATCTAATTCTGTCTTCCGTTTGAAGCGGGTGTGGTCCATGCTGCCCAAGTAAGTACTAGAGTTCTACTAAAAAAAAGGGTTTAAATTCTGAGCACAACTGTCAGCACTCTTAGACTGTCCTGGGAAAATACACTGTCATTGGAACTAAGACCAGACATGGTCACATTTTTTATGTCATCATTTCTCATTTGGCAATTCTTTCAGTTTTGATGAAATTTCTTTAAGAGGAATGGTTTCTTTACATTCTTTATCATTTCTTGAAAATCAGTTCTTGAAAATATGCATTAATATTTAGCAAACTTTCATTACACAGTAATAATTTTAAGTTAAATGCATTAAAAATTATTAAGTTTTTTCTATTGTATAGATATCTGATATTTGAAATTTATTTAAAATCTGATATTTGAAACATTTCTGTTCTTTACAGGGAAGTCTTTGCATTGTTTGAAGAATTATCCAGTATATTTTCAGAAGAAAACAATCAAATGGCCCACCGTGAGCTGCTCAACAAGGTAGGATAATATGATAATTAGATTGGTTGTTTTGGTACATTATTCCTGACATGTGAGTATTAATAGAGCCTACCCTTGGAAATAATCATTGACAATGATAATGATAACTTTTCATGAAGATTGTTATTCTGTAAATCATTTACCAAAAACATTATTGAAGTGTGGACTTAAGTTAACTTGCTAATAGCTGATTTAGAATTCTAAAAAATGTGCAAGTAAATTGTGCAAGTAAATTTCCGTGTCCACTTACAGGAAGGAACAGCCAAATATGCAGCCACCGACACGTGGGGGAGGAACTGGAAGCGGCGGACAGGGCATTCTCACAAAAGGAAGGCGAAGTCTGTGGATGGGGTAAGTTTGTGGTGCAGTTCATGTGACTTTATGTGATACACAAATATTGTTATTAGTATGAGTTGGATATATCTGCTTCAGAAATTTATTCAGTCTTTTTTCCCTAATTCTTCTGCATATTGCCACACCCTCTATATGTCAGTCTACATATCATCACACCCTCTATATGTCCCTCTTCATATTGCCACACCCTCTATATGTCCCACTACATATTGCCACACCCTCTATATGTCAGTCTACATATCATCAAACCCTCTATATGTCCCTCATCATATTGCCACACCCTCTATATGTCAATCTACATGTCATGATACCCTCTATATGTCCCACTACATATTGCCACACCCTCTATATGTCCCACTACATATTGCCACACCCTCTATATGTCCCACTACATATTGCCACACCCTCTATATGTCAGTCTACATATTGCCACACCCTCTATATGCCCCTTCACAATTGTCACACCCTCTATATGTCAATCTACCTATTGCCACACCCTTTATATGCACCTTTACATATTGCCACACCCTCTATATGCTCTTCTACATGTTGCAACACCCTGTAGATGTCCACTCCATGTCCACTCCATGTCCACTTCATGTCCACTGTGAATATTTCAGATCACAGTCCAGGGGACAGTGCCATACCTGGGGACCTTCCTCACTGACCTCACCATGATTGATACAGCCACGCCTGACCTGTCAGAGGACGGACTCATCAACTTTGAGAAAAGACGAAAAGAGTTTGAAGTGCTGGCACAGATCCGACTCTACCAATCAGCGGCACATATATATAACCTGCAGCCAAACGAGAGGTTTATGGTCTGGTTTAGTGGAGTTCGAGTTTATAATGACAACGAAAGGTAATATTTCAAAGTATTTAAACTGATGCTCACCTCAAGAAATTGTGAATTTAAACTTTTTTGAAAGATTTTGGTATTTACACATAGACTTGATATCTTTGACATAATGTCATCATGAAGGGAAAGTTTGATAAAACTCAGTATTGTGGATAGTTTGGTATAATATTCCATGGAAGTCTGTGCTGTCAACATTGGCCCCACACCAAATGTCTGTTGAATTGAAACCTTGCCAGTAAAATTTGTAATTTAAATTTGTTCATTTTCAAGTTAGTGGGTTTTAACATTATTGCATTTATTTACTTGGAAATGTAGACCTCTCCTTGTTGTTCCAGCTATGAATTATCTTGTGCCATAGAACCCGCAGACTCTCCAGCTCATGGGAAACTGAAGAAAAAAGCAAGGTTGGTATCTGAATATTTTTTTCCATGCCATGTGACATAAGAATGGTCAACTGTGCATTTATTTGTTTTTGTAATGATCTGAAAATTACTTGATAATGCTAAAATAGAAAAAAATAGGAAAAAAGTAAATGTTTGAAATAAATAAACAGTTGAACCTTCGCATTTGATTTTTTTCAAAGTACAGTGAAGGTATGTAATTTTAAATTAAAATCTTATTTAAGATGACAGACATTTTCAAACATATTAAGCATATAGAAAAAGTACAAAGCTGAAACTGAAACATGCATAAAAAAATTTGTTTCATATATTTTACATATTGTATCTTTTAGTGCCCTATCATGTGTGAGTGGGCTGATGAGGACACCAAGCATGGGTTCTAACTCTTCACTAAATCAGGACTCCAGATCCTCTGACAGCAGCAGTCTGGCTGATTCTCTGTCTCTCCTATCTACGTCTCAGGTATGAATTTATTTTGATAAATTTATTTCAAGGTATATTAATCCTCTGCTGGTATTTTAAAAGAGCCTGCATTTCATAGTTGAGCCAGCTTCCATATTTTTTAACTGCCATTCCTGCCTGCTTTTTCACATCTGAAATTCAGTTGCATTTGATTGAATTTTACCACTCCAGTCAAAAATGTTAGGATCTGTTAACTGCCCCACATGCCCTTCTGTGTAACCTTGAAATCTAAATGACTGGAAGAACATCTTTAAATGGTGCAGCAAACTTAAATCAGACTTGCTGTAAAGGGACAAGAAAAGCATGCACATATGGAAGTTTGAAAAAGAAGGATGCTGACTCAGATCAAGCGTCAAGGTCATGGTACCTAAACTGTTCTCTGGGTCTCTTCTTTCCACTTTTTTAGTCAGATGTGAGCATTTTTGATAGTATGGATAGTATGCACTGGATTTTAATCACACAAATTGTTGCTGAATTAATAATTATGCTGATAACAAATGTCTTTTAAACTACCTGATAACTTGATTAAAAAGGTTAAAAATTAAACTTTCTTGGATAGATGATTATAAAGTAACTTAAACAATTAAGTTTTAGAATTTGTTACTTGTGATTATAGTCATTACTCAGTAAATTAATAAAGAAGTTGATATGTTTCTATAAAATAGTTAAGAATAGTATAACATGAAATTGTTGTGTCAGTAACACTTAAAAGTTAACTGCTCATTAGAATATATGTATAAATGTGAGTAAGAAAAAATGATACAGCCTTAAAAAGGTAAAAGTTTAAATTGGGATGAATGAGTTATTTGAAAATTATAAGTTATAACTGTGAATATCATATTTCCAGATCTCCACGGATTCTCAACTGAAATCTCCTCTCTTGTCTCCCGGTGATATCACAGAGTTTAAATCTCCCGATGCCTGTGTTATTAAAGTCAAACTTGACACAGGGACCGAGGAGGATACTAGTCTCTACAAGTCCATCATGGTAAGTGTGACTGATTTCAAATCTCCCAATGCCTGTGTTGTTTAAGCCAAACTTGGCACGGGTTGTATTGTTTCCTTTTTCTGTATCTATTGGTATATGCAGGGCTTAATTACAGCACAGTTATTCACAATAAATGCATAATTATTCTATTTTTATTTCTCAATATTCAAACTGGGATTGGTTGTTGACATATTTGTCAGCTTTGGCTGGTTATATTTCCAGCTTAGAAATTGTTAACATTAGTTTTGTATCTGTGCATTTGTCACTGTTAGCTGGTTATATTTCCTGCTTGGCAATAGGACCATTTGCAATGTGTCTGTGTATTTGCCAGGTTTAGCTTTTATTTCTATTTTTTCATTTTCAACTTGGCAGTACAATACAAAATAAGTTATTTTCAAATTTTATGGTGATATTGTCTCTTTTCCTGTTTCCAGCTTGGCAATGGAGACCATACGGGTGTTGTTATCAAGAAAGTGTTGGAGAAATACAATCTTGAAGCTGACAATCCAACTGACTACAGCATATACCAAGTCCTGCCAGATGGGGGTGAGTAAAAATAACAGATGATGGTGAATCCAGGTTTTATACAAGGGGAGGTGGCATGGGAATAACATATATTTGCCTTGTTTTGCTAAACAAGTATTAGATACTAGATGGCTGACAATTTTACTGTAGCACAGTGTATGTAGGGTATGGGGATGGAAATTTTTCTTGGCTTTGTCTTGCTTGAAACAATGTATTCATCAGAGATATTTGTCCCACTGAAATGCAATCTCTTATTGATTTAAAATAAAAAGTATTTTAAAATGTATTTATTTATTTTTATTTATTTATTTATTTTTTAGATCTACACATCCCTGATAAAGCCAATGTGTTCTATGCCATAAATAACAATGTCAAGGAACTGAGATTTATGGTTTGCAGAAAAAGCCTAGTTCCTGCTCATATGACCATGCCTTACAGAGGTAAACGGACTTCCAATAAGAACAAAATGAAGAAGAAAAACTCCTTATAGCTGAGAGTTCTTATTGCTTCTCCCAGCACAGTTGTAATTTTTTTACTGAGGAATGTTATAAATTTTGAACAGAAAACTGGCTTCCAAAGTAATGTGCAGCTCAGAATGACGGAAATGGCTTCCTGTAAAAATGAAGTAGATGAAAAAATCCTTATAACCATGGATACTTATTGCTTCTTCAAGCACAGTTTCAACTGGAAATTGACCGAAATTTTGATTTGCAGCCTTGAATTCCAGAGAGAAATGCAGATTTGTTTTTACTCAGAATGACGTGAGATTAATTCTGCACATTGTAATATGATTGTACTTAAATGCAACAAAACTTCCATAAAGAACAAAAAATAAAAAATAAATTTCAACTAAATATATTCAAGTAACAGTTATACTAGGTGCTGTCATTTATATTTCCTCCATCAGTGGTAATCATTATATTTTTATCAGCATTGGTTTGACGGTCAGTGAGCAAGATATCTAAAAAAAATCTTCAGGAATATGTTTTCATGATTGACGTTTTGCCTTGTATTTGAAAAGGAACTTTTGATTACCTTTTTGGCAGATTCCTATGCTCTTGGAGTGTCCTTAAGTTGTGACTCGCATGATTTGTTATGGCAAGTCAAACAACCTTCTATATTGAAAATTAAGATAATTAAGTGGAAATTTATCACAGCCAAGGGAGACTCATGGCATCAATGGTTGATTCAATGATACTGTATTTATACTGCCATTAATTATTCAGAGTCATATCATTATGAATACAATGATTTATACACTACTTTAAAATATTTATATTGCTTTGTGGTTATGTGACATTCATTTGATAAGATGTGGACATATTTGATGACACTGGTCAAGTAAACTTTAGTCTCTTTTAATTTAAGAGTAAACTGGTCAAGTAAACTTTAGAAAAACTTAATATCTCATGGTGCTTTTTACAGATTTGAAATAATGTGTTTGTACTAAGCGAAATGTTGCAGCAATCCTACGAGTTCCACCATACACTTTTTGATTAAAATAACATGGCAGTAAATTCAACTGTAATATGGCTTGATTACTAGGATTTTTATGTTGAAAGTTTCCTAGACAGCATTATATATAGAAGTGTTCTTGAAATCATTCAATTCAAACAAAAGGCAGTGAATTTTTAAATGCATTTTTCAAGTGTATGGTCTATCATATCACGTATAGTATTTGCCATTGTTAAATGTAATACTGCAATAATACATAAAGCACTATTTTATTCTCATAATTTTTGAGTCTTCATTTGTATAGAATAATGTAGAACTCAATTTCAATCATGGGCAGCTGCATAATATTTAATGTTGTCAATTAAAAAGTGAGAGTAATTGTCAGTTAATCATGCTTAAAGATTACATATTGATGTATCTTGAACAAATACAAGTCAAATTAAGATACCTGATAGGAATTTTACTACAGGCCAAATCGTTCTGAGATCTAGCTATGTAGATAATTCTTACACAACATTACAAGTTGCTTTTTTTCTAATGTCATTGTTGGCAAAGGGTAAAGTTTGATGCGAGTGACCTGTCAGATAGATCTGAAGTTATTTCTAGTCCAGAAATATTTCACAGAGATAGATGTACATTAATAGATGGTTGTGAATTGTTTGTATACAAATGTGGTAATGTTTAGAACTAGATTACCAGGTATAGGTCAAGGCCAGGTTAGGGTCAAGGTCACAGTAAGATGATGTCAAATATTGGCAAGTGTATGTAGACATTAATTTCAGCAACATGCCTGTATTTGTGCTTTGTCCTAGATCTTGTTAAGTTATGCCTTTTTTTGACTTGCTTAAAATACTGGAGTTAACAGTAGTGTCTGATATGTGGTTTATGACTCTTTTGAGTTATTCATTGTGTGAAAAAATGTGTTAGATGGTTTGTTTAATTTTGTTGGGATTTTTTAAATTGCTTACAAGTGTATACACTACTTGTCCCTGTTGTTTGGCTGCTACAAACTTGAAAACATGACATTTACACCCTCTGCAAAAGGAATTGGGGATAAGAATCACTTTCTGAATTTTTAATGATATTATTGTGATGATAACTTGCCTCTTAGAGTTTGAATGTTAATTCAATTTTTAAGCAGATAGCTGAATGGTGAATAACATTTTTCATTTAAAATGCATAATCTGGCATTTTGTTAATGGAGTTACCTCTGTGTATCCGAAGCCTCTGAATTTAAATTGCTGAGATATTGCTAAAATTACTTTAAATTTCTTACTTTTGGTGTGAGATTTTAGCACAGTGGGAAATTAAGCATGTATCAGCATTTGATATCTTTTGAAGCGGCTTTAACTAATAATATATCATATCTCTCTTACATATTTGTATAAGTTTGGATTTTGGAGCTGGTCTCTTTAACTCGTAAACGTTCTCCTAGTATTATTATCTGATTTTAATAATGTGATTTGCTTTTATTATGGCACTTGTAAATAGAATAAAAATTACTTTAAATGGTTTTGTATGTACATGTATGTGCTAGTAATCTATATCACGGTGTCACTTCCAGTATTGATCAAAAATAAGATATGCTGTGAATGATGTGCTTTTCTAGGGTAAATTCACTATCTTTTTACCATTTCATATTAAAAGGGCAATTATTCAAACTAATTACAAAAATATAGACTGAGATTATCTTTATAAGTGAAAAATATGCAAGTGCTTCTGTGAGTTTGTTTACATCAATTTCATGTAGTTTGCGTTTTCTTTATAAGTTCATGCTTGTAAAATATGTCATAATGCCAGTTTAAGGTTTACATTTCCTCTGGAACTATGTGCATTGAAATATTCCATATCATATGTTGCTTGTCGCCAGTGCTGTGTAATGATAATTATTGTAACAAATTATATAGTAATTTTTAAACCATAATTATTAAATTGTAATTGAAACTACATGTATATTGTGCAATAACCACTTCTATTCCTTTAATTAATTAATTTGTGAAAAAAACTCAGTTGTAGTCTCTTTTAATTTAAGAGTAAAACTGTGTGTCCTTATTCATCATACTATTGTGATTTTTAAAACAGCTATGGATACTTTGTAAATTATGGAAACTAGAAGGCGTTGTAATTGAGTTCAAATGTAAAAGTAAATATGCTCTCTTTTTATACAGCATTTCACTGGCAATTCAAACAACCTACACTGCAAAACCATTGTTATACTTAGGCCATCGTATTAGTATGACAGTAATAAAATATTCCTGGATTTATTTCTAGCTGATATGTGCCTTGCTTTGCTTCTCCTTTCGTGTTCATTTTTTTTTTGCAGTGACAATGGGTATTTTATTTATGAACCCCCCAAAATTATACTTATAAGTGTGTAGTGACTAAACAAGAGCAACACTGTACTTAATAAGTTTTATTCATGTGTACATTTGCATATTCTCCTGCCTTTTATTTAGCTCTTATTCCCAAATGGTACTAAGGGCAGTTTACCAAAAAATTCAATCCTGAGTGTTTTCTGTTTGATGATTGTACATGAGATGGGTACAAGATTACAGTTTTTGTCTTTCGCTTTGGGTGCAGTCCCTCTAAATCTATGAGTGTGGGAAGGTGTCCTATCTTCCAAATACTGAAAGTAGAAAAATTCATGAAAATGTGAACATTCATTGGCAGAGGTAAATCAAATACTCTGATGCAAGAGGTGACAAAGAAACATAAACTGTTATCTATAAGTGTGCAACTTATCATAAATGTACCCCTTCGAAAAATGACAGATTTTAAAATATAAGATTTTAAGATATTATTTAAAAATAATATGTTAATAACAGTTATATTATATAACCACGCAAAATTATCTGAACCAGTCTGAAATTTGATATTTAAGTAAATGTGAGACAATTGGTCTGTGAACTTACTACATGCCCCATCAGAACAACTCGATTGTTGGTCGACCTTATTGTAGCAGCAGGAACCGTTATATGTGCAGTACTTCCCGCCGCCACTGGGGACAGGAGAATTGCAGTACTTGGCACGCTTCTTTTGGCAGAAAAAACTGCATGTACTCCAGGGGGTCCAAGAACCCCAGTTACCGTCCACTGAAATTTTTGTAATATCAAAAAAGGAGGATTCAAAACGGGATATAGATTTTTCTGTCAACGTTATAGGGAACACCTTGGTGAAAAAAGATGGTTACTAAAATTTGTATGAACATATTTGATTGCTCCTGTCCTTGTTAAGACTATATAACGTAGCTAACAAAGGGTAGGGGGAATGCAAATTCAAATGAAAGATTCAAAAGAAAAATTCCCCTTTTTATTTGCTAAATGTTTTTAATAAGGAATGAGGAGTAATGTAATATTTCTTGCTTCATTGTACGATCGCATTTTAGATACAGTTCTGAAGTGAAAAACATCATTTAAGCCCATCTTTATCTTATATAAAAGAAGTCCAAGAGTTAGCCAGATGCATACCTTTTTCGTCAATACAAGGCCCTGCATCACACGAAGCTTTGCTGGTGAGCTTATTATACTGACAAATGCCATTGTAACAGCACCACGAGCCACCGTTAGATGGCGCTGGGCTATCACATGACTTCACGCGTGATCTTTCTCCTTTACCGCATTGGACGCTGCAATCAGACCACGCGCTCCAGTCTCCCCAGTTACCGTCGACTTTTGCAGCTAAATAGAAAAGTGGTTACAATCAATTAGTCAGAAACTAAGACAATTGGAGGACAAGTCTCTCTGCAAGTTTCCTTTTTAAAGTTATCGGTAAAAGAGCGTTAAACCATTGTTAGTGACAAACAAAATACTGGGAAAAAGGGGGCACGACGCAAGCAGTACTAACCCGGGCAATTTTCTGTGTTGCACGGTTCGGATTCACTAGCAACACCTTCGTCGCAATCGCCTCCAACGCACGTGCGAGTCCTTGATTTACTCCCTCCCCCGCAGGTGGCGCTGCACTCGGCCCATTCTCCCCACTGACCCCACGTGCCTGCAGTACATAAAATGTGAAACTTACAAATCTGAACGAAGATTTAAAAAAGTCCTACTCCCTTTGCTCAAATTGAAACAAATGGGTCTCAGCTATTGAATCCTCGCAGTAAGTGAAACAGGACGAGCGTTAAGCTGAAGTTTCCAAAATTCTCACTTTTTATTGAGATAACAGAAAAGGGAAAATGTACCTAATTTCTCACACGGCCCTGCATCACATGATTCCTTGTTTGTAAGTTTGTTGAACTGACACATGCCGTTGTAGCAACACCACAACCCGCCGTTAGATGGCGCTGGGTTGTTGCACAATTTATCACGTGATTTTTCTCCTTTACCGCATTGGACGCTGCAAGCAGACCACGTGCTCCAATCACTCCAGTTACCGTCAACAGATCCAGCTAAAAAAAAGTAAGTTGAGAATATCCTAAACTTAATTTGCAGCAAAAATATATATCAACGCAAATATCTGCAAAATTATACAAAACAAAAGCTTGATTACTCCTAAAGTCACGATCACAAAACAGAGGGCCGCAATATTTAAAAGAAATCTCCCACACGTACCCGGGCAGGGGGCCGTATTGCACGGCTCAGATTCATCAGCAACCCCCTCGTCACAAACGCCGTTCTTGCAGGTACGGGTTCTTAATTTCGTCCCACCGCCACAGGTGGCGCTACAGGTTGTCCATGGACCCCACTCTGACCACGTGCCTGAGAAGGAGAGAATTACTTTATTAGTTTAATTGTTATTGAAAACACGACTTGCCAGTTTCAAAAAACTTACTTCGATGGTATAAATTGAGACCTTGCACTAAAATGGGTTCATGAAGTAGACTCCTCACTTCTATGCTCTATTAGAAATCTGAAGATGCGCAAGGTGAGGTGCAATATCTAAAATCCATTTACAGGCCTTATAAACGGTTTTGGCGTTTACTAACACTACCCGCAGTTTTTTAGGCACTAACGCCCATATTAACCACAAAACCCACGAATTAACCTACACACCGTGAAATTATTTAACACCAACAAGGTGATACCTAGCACTAACATTCATCTACTCTGGTAATGCTGGTTAACTTTTGGGTTATGTGGTTAATATGGGTGTTATTAAGTTAGTGCTAAAAGATCTGCGGGTAGTTTTAGTAAACGCCTAATCCGTTTATAAGTCATTTAGATAAATAGTCCCATATAGAGTTTAGATATCCACGTTTTCCTACCTGGACAAGTGTTTGTATTGCATGGACTGCTCTCCTGGTTTGTCCCGTTGCACGTGACGCCACCATCGCAGCTCCTGGTTCGAGAAAAAGTTCCTCCCCCACAGGTCTTTGAGCAGTCGGACCATCCTCCCCACTCTCCCCATTTTGGCGCTACAGTAATAGTTTTGTTCATTACGTTTTAATATCTTAATTAAAGTTAACAACAAACTAAGAGCGGTGGGCGACAAAAATATCTTTTCTTACAAATTTTCATAAAACTCGTAATTGTCAGAAATACTAACGTTTTAAAACTTAATCACATTTGCCGTGGAACAATTAAGAAATTGTAAATGACTACGTAAAATATATGCATGACACATGTACTTTTATTAAACAAGAACATAAATGTAAATAAATTTTCTGAGCGGACAAAGTTGCATTTATTACTTGAAAACTTACTGATCCCAGGGCAACTGTCGCTATTACAGGCTCGAGATTCACTGTCGCTCCCAGGACAGTCACTTCCACCATCACATGTTCTTGATCTTGTCTGACTTCCGCCACCACACGTGACAGTGCACGTGGTCCATGGTTTCCATTCTGTCCAGGTTCCACCTATCATAGATCAAAATTATGCCATAATTTTTTTTCATTTAATTGTTAAGCTTAGTACAGTACGAATACTATCGACTTTAATTGCTTACGTTTTGCATTAATTTATGTATATGCTAACGTAAAGGATTCAGTGGTTTCCTTTCAATTCCATTTCGTCTGTTAATAATGGCTACGTTTTGCATATGGTTCAAGCCTATGGTGCTGTAGATATTTTCTAGCAGTTTAACTGGTCGGTTCTAATTTACAATAACTGGAAACTTGCCATCTGAACCTACGTATAGGTCAGGTAACAAAATGCTTTTATCACATCTGCTTTATGTGCACTTTTTAAACACTGACATGCTTTTGCGCTGCATCCTTCCGTTTGCGTGCCATCACCAGGACACGACAAAGCTACAGGGCATGTTCGTGAACGCTTGCGTGTACCACTGCCACAAGAGGCGCTGCAACCGCTCCATGCACCCCAATCACTCCAAATGCCTAAAAGATGAAGTAGCGTTATTTTGGTAGGACAGTATACGCACATACATAGCATGAAATAAAATGAGCAAAATAGTTAAAGCCACCCTAGTAATAAACGTTATGGGACTTGAAAGGGAGATCGAATGTTACCGTAGGATAAAAGAAGATAAAGTGCGTTCTGTAAGTGTAAGAAATAGAGGAGGTGAGTTTTGAAGGACTAGCATTCGTTTTGATAGGGGCTGTGTTATTAGTTGCACTACCCCAGTAACTTACCCGCCTTTTGTGACTGTTCATAATAGTAGCATTGTATACAGCACCAACCGGACGACCTAATTTGGTCATTTTTGCATAACGTTTTCCCATCCCTGTTGATAGCCGACTCGCACGTTTCCATACCGAGGCCGACGTTGATCTTAGCTGCGTCGGAGTCTTTACACAGGTCGCCAGGCCAGCCTAAACACATTTGTGATAGCGATAAAGCATCAATTAGAACTTTTTATATTAGATTAAAATAATAAACTATTATGTAAAAAAAGCACTTAGAGAGCGCAGGCCTCCGCCAAGGCAGCAAAGTCTCCATCCAATGCCGTTTCACCCCTAAATTTTCGATATTTTTTATTATTGATTATTGATCCGGATCACCACCAAAAACTAATCATCTGTTCCTTGGCCCACTCCTGACAGTTCCTGAAAATTTCATAAAAATCGGTCCATAACTTAATTTTTGATTTTTGACTATTGACTATTGATTATTGATTGATTATTGATCCGGATCACCACCAAAAACTAATCACTTCTAAGTTAACCCATTTCTGACCTATCCCGAAAATTCCATCGAAATTCATTGTTAACTTTTTGAGTTATGTTGATGACAAACAAACAAACAAACAGGGATGAAAACATAACCTCCTTGGCGGAGGTAACGACTACATGAACCCAAGATCAGAAATGTTTTTCAGTTGTTAAAAGTTTTGAAGATGAAAACTTAAAAGACAGATTTCAACTTCTATCGTTATTTTCGTTTTCGAGAGAGTTTCCTTAATGATATTTACAGCTATCTGAATTGCCATTTTTTAAATTTACCCATCTCTTAGCTGAAGGAGATATAGATGTAATAAACCATGTATAAAGACATAGCAGTAATAGAAAGGTACAAACGCCGACTTACCGTACGGACACCATGTAGTATCCTTCTCTGTACTACGACCAGAACTTTGTGCTGGGGTGATTTTCTTGTCGACACACCTGCCCTCTATACACCATTTTCCATCTGCGCAGTCAGTGCCATCTGCCGGTGGTTTAAATTTGTGAGAACAGGTCAAAGCACCCGTCTTGCAGCGCAAATACTGGCAAAAGTTATCAGCTCCAAAAACCTGGAAAATGGGACGTAAACTTTAGCAGTTTTTTTAAAACATCTTGGCTGAATTACCCGTAAAAAATCAACAGCACGTTTAATAACAATTAACAGCAGTATGTAGTCAAATGTTAATGTTGCTGGGATCGAGCACAATGCAAATATTGATATACGAAACGCGTTTATATGCATTATTTTCAATGGATAGAAAAGCAAAATCCGCCATAAATGATCGTTGAGAAAGTATCAAATGCACGATTAAAATACTTTTTAAGGATCATCTTTGTCACCTGTGTCACTTTATTGGGTCGCAACAGAAATAGAAGGAAAGTCGTACATTACACGTAGAGGAACCGCCTCCGTGTTGCATCTGGCACTGTTGGTTAGCATCAAATAGTTGACCAGGACGACGTCGAGTATTGGCTGCATATTCCGCTGAATTTTCATAATTCCCATCATCTACAAGGCAGCAGGCACCTCTGGAATTGTACAAATCATTTTTAAATTTTTTCTTCAATATGTTTGTACATGTAAGTGTATGCATTCGTATTCTGTATGGGAAAAGTACGAATGAATGATGAATGTTTGCGAAAGGCAGTTTCAACACACAAACGATTCTTTAACAAACCATCTGTTCAATGTTGGTACGGCACATGTAACTGATTGTAGTTTAAAATAAGTTATCTTAATTCACCTAAGGGTTTTCTTAAATTCTGCAACAGAACAGTAGGAGAAATAATAGCCACTGCTCGGATCAGAACCCCCCGACGTCGGCGCCATGATGTAGCCGTTGCTGGCAGGACATGCGGTGTTGGTACCGGAACCATCGTGGGTAGCTCCTAGGCTGTAATAACAACATATTAAGATATATATATATATATATATATATATATATACATATATATATATATATATATATATATATATATATATTTTTTTTTTTTTGGTAAAATTTTCTTTTATCACAAAGTCTAAATTGACCTTCGGGTAAGCGCTCTAATCTTATACGCCTTTTACTGTTGAATTCGAACAATAAGTACTCTTATTATTTAAGATGTATTTGGCGTTAAACATATTTATTTGTTCGTTTAATAGTAGGAAATTTGCACCCAATTCGAAATATATATAACAATCTAAAACTTTAAATACACTATTAATAAATATATACTCACTTGTGTCCAAGCTCATGGGCCGCCGTGATGAAGGAAGTGAAGCCCCCGTGAGACTCCACGATGGAGCACGAGGAAGAACGTGAACATATCCCCGCAACAGGGGCTACGCCTGCCACAGCAGTGTCAAAAGCGTTGGAGGCTAGTTCTCGCCTAGTGGGTAACAGAAAATGAGACTGGGGTAAATTATTGGAAATTGCTTCTAATAGGTGGATAATTCATTTTTATTTTTTTATTTTTATCAAGGTTTCCAGTAGGTACCAATTCTAACGTCCAAATTGATTAATTTCGGTACAAGTGCATTTTGCAGTGGATATAACCCAACATCTGCAATGCACAAATGCCGTATGATATATACTAAAACAACAATATCAGCAATAGAGCGTGCAAGTCTGAATATTTGTACGTTTCTCCTACTGTAAACCACAAAAGAGTGCTCATTAAATATTTACATTCTCATTATGAACAAAACCTACATTGTAAAGGCCATCCCGTGATCGTGTTCGGGCAGGTCATCATAGTTATCTTTCCTGTACTTGCACCAGTCGTCCGAGGCCTTTGTCTTGTCCACTAGGACACGTCCGTCTTTAGTTGGGGCACCGGGAAGCACATTGCCACTGAACCAGCGGGCGCCCTCTGGGGTCTAAAAACAGAATCAAATTTAATTCAGGACCATTACCAGAGATTAAAAAGTTTAAGGCAAACCAACAAACTATGCATATTTTGCAGTAACGACTTCTTTCTCGACCAGAGGTTGAAAAGCTAAAGGTAAACCAACAAATTATGCATGCTTGGCAGAAACGATTGTCGTTGCATTCAGATGTTCGCATTGTGGATAGTTATCCCATCAGATACATCTCGTTGGAAAAATATTATTATATCCCATTACAGCGTGTGACGTTTTGGTGACGTAGCAGTCACGTGGTCCTAAGGTTTTTGTTTACTAGGTAGTAGCAATTTTGCATGCTCTCTGCATGTACATTTCCGTGCCAGAGACAAACTTACCTTTACAATTATTATAGCTGACAGTACAATGTAGATGTTCAAATCTGGGTCATCTATGTTCTGGTAACGAAGATCTATCTGTAAAATTACAAATAGTTGTAGATGTACTTAAATTTTGAAACGCTTTCTTTTTTATAGTTTAATGCCTACAAGTGTATACATGTCCTCTTTGCATTCTTTGCATGGGTTTGCTCTAGTGGAATTAGGAATACTAAAGGATCAAGGATATCAATAAGAAAATGGCATGTCTCTTTTCACCCCACCCTTCTCATTGCGATGAAAAAGACATTTTCAAGTAACAATTAAGCGCACATTTTTCTATATATACGTGTGTGAAAAAAATTGCTGTTATTATTTTATATATATATATATATATATATATATATATATATATATATATATATATATATGACAATAGACACCTAGGTCCCGCATATCATAACAATGATCAAGATTAAAAGCACAGATGTAATGATTAAATGCATGTGTGTATGCGTATATGCAAAATGCGTACATGTGACACCTGTGAGTGACACCTGTGAATAATACCTACCCCGTTTGCAATTAACGAATAGTATTTCCTCAGCTCGGCCTCCGCTGCCGAGGCAACTTGATTATTGCGCTTCATAAAATAATCCCAGATAGTATCATCAGTGCAAATTAGAAGTTCAATGGCGGCGTCTATATGGCCCTCCGTGAAAGCCTTGTTTGACCTCAGTTCAACTTCTTTCTCGGTTCTCTTGACGTTAACTTTCTCCAAAACTTCTAGAAGGGAATGGAGGAGCTTTGAGTCTGCTGCCGAAGATCGCTTAGCTCGATCCAGTTTCACTTCACGGACGCTTAATGGCACTGAAATGGTAAAAATGAAACAAACGTTGATGTCTTACATGTGCATCACACTCGGTTCTATACATCTTACAAATATATAAATGTCTGAATTTCCAGTTTTAGTGTACTTTTGAATAGTGATTACAATTAAGAAACATTTTACTTGATCGTGCAGCATTTATGCATACATGCATACAGGTAGTGCACCCAAACCCAATACAGAGGTGCATTTCACATGTTGAAGTGTCAAGAAATAAAATTGAATGAATTCAAAGTTGTATTCAATTTTTTAAAACATATATGTGTATAGAACAAAAATCCACGAGTGTCTCAATTTAAATTCAATTTTTATTTTTACCATGTCTTTTACATTACGCAAAGATTTTTAATTAGTAACGTATGTTCCAAAAACGTACGGTAACGTATGTTCCGGGTCATTGAATTTAAATTTTTATACCGCGTTCCGATATATTTTGTAGTGGTTCAGTCATGGTAAATTAGACATGACGTCAGGACGTTTTTATAAATATTAAAACTATAACTCATAAGGTGCTTTGCGTGATTCTAATACTAGGTAACGTATATTCCCTCGAAAAATTATTATAATTTTTCATTTTGTCTAAGTTCTTGGTGCAAGAGTAAACACTTTTCTTTTGCTGACCGAAAAATATATTGTGATTCCATGATAGTTTGACATTTCTTATATAATATTTAGAGCACGAGGGGAAAATAATTTTTAATGCTTATTTTGCTGTCGGTAGGGTGTATTTTCCCCGTTTTTTTAATATTCAGTGACAGGCAAACTTAAGTTGCTGAAAGACAATTAATTGCTCTATACAGAAGATTATCATAATTTTTTACAAGGTCATAGGCCTACTTGTAGGAGATAAATCAAAGCACAAAATCCAGTGATGATTGAATTTTCAAAGTGAGTAAAACGTTTCATTGTTGAACGTTTTGCATTTGTGACAGTAACGTATGTTCCTTTTTGGGGATAGAAGTTGAATTATTTTTTATTAATCATGGTTCCAGAAGAGTGAAACTTTGATATAAACTTCTTCACGTGGGACCCTAAAATAATCAGACATAGTTTGCAATCTGTGCACTAAATGTTTTTAAGAGCATGCCTGTGACATCAATTGCACCTCTACCTATAACAATAGAATACTTTTCAAAACAGTTTTGAATTTAGTAGATTGGATATGCGTAAGAACGCTTAAAACCAATAAACGGCTTTTGTGGATATAAGTGTTAAACGTTTATTTTTTAATAAATAAAACCCTCACCTGCGTCATCAATAGCTTCTGCCGGTTCGGCAACGGTATCGTCAATTTGGTGTCTTAAAACCATATATTTGTCATTTTCAACGTGTCGCAGCTCGTAAAAAGCATCCTTCTCCATCACAAAACCTTCCTAAAAACACAGCCAAGTTAAAAGTATTTAATCATTTCGATAAAGTTGTTTGATATCAAAAGAAACCGATTGAGGTAGGACGAGAGAATTTTCCAATATATTCATATATTAATGCTGAAATCCATTCGATTATTTGATACACCGGAGAATGGTTTTGCATTAACCATAAAACATCTAAAAGGAAGCAGTATGCCTTTTTATAATATTTTTTTCTGTCTCCCAACGTAAGCAATTCCCGATACATGAGCTCACCGCAAAATATATTATATTTGATCTGTCCTTACCACTTTCTTCAGTGTTTTCTCCTTGGTAACTGCCACCGCTGCATTGGAGTCTTTATCTTGGTAAAGAGCAAAATCCTGTAATAAAACACACTTTGTATGGTGTTGCTTCATAGTATCAAATCCAATAAGTTATTGATGATAATTTCAAATTAGGAAGACATCATCAAATGTTTTTTTTATCGCAATAACAAGATTTTGTTGTGAAATGATATCTTATAAGCAGGCACATACGTTTACTTGCAGCTGTTTATCTGCCAATGTAATATGTTTGCTCCTAAGTACCGTATTTTACTGAGACAGCAACAGCAGGGTCAAAGAGCACAATTTGAATTGTCAAGGACGACAAACGACTTACGTCATTGTTCCCAAGGGACTTTGTCACCAGTTTACCGTCCTCCTCTACGTAGAGCTGCGATATCTTTGCCGGTTTGATGCGGTCATTTTTCACCAACCGGAGATCAAAATTCTTGCCGTGAGCATTAAATTGATACAGCAAATTCTGTTGGTGGTCTTTAATGTTCTCCAGTTCACGTTCAGCGAGACTGTCTATCTCGTTGACGTCGGTCACGTGTCTGAGGGTGACGAACTCCGCCTCTAGTTGAAAGCAAAGTGACACTTAGATATAGAACGTTCAATGACGGTTTTACACGTAAGTATGTCATGATTTGAGAAAGTGACTTTCCATATAGTTTTTATTAAACTGTATCTAGCCTTTCATTTTGAAATCTTACCATCATTACTGTCAGCAAACCTGGTATTATGCTGTCATGCCTGTTTTGAACGTTATTATGCTCCTTTTCAATATATCACATGCATGTGAATACGAAAATCTTGGCACCCATGATACTGGCAGAAGTAACAAGGGACAATACTAATCTATCTGTCAAACCCCATTAACTTCCTTCAGTTTAATTATACCTTCTGGGTATATTTTCATTGAAGACAAGACTTACTTTACTGGGATGCTTAGATTGCACTGACCTCTTCGGTGAATGAATTTTATGTGAACAATTTGACACTCCATTTAATACCGTTTACTTCTTTCAATATGACAGCTTTTCATGAAAGCATTCTATTTCGAACACAAACTGCACTTTTGCTTATAAGACTTGCTAAAGTCTAGTTTTAGCCAACTAACTTACTAAGAACTTATCGGGACAACAATTTCAAACTTTATGCCCACGCGATATTCAAATCTCCCATTAGCATTTGTGAGTGAGCGTGATAAAATCTTAACGCCCACGGGCACCTGGGGATTCATGAAGTTGAGTCTGCTTTTTATACTTATCCTGCTACATATCGAGATCGACAACGATCGACAGAATTAGATTAAGGGGTATAGTGGAATGTTTTTATCCATGTTTTAACCCTCACTGAAGGCGGGGCCAGTCATTTTGTATTTCAAATTGCTCTAGAAGGCATGCAAATTAGTAGTGAAGAAAAGATGAAAAAGAAAAGGATTTGGACAGTAATAACACAATATCGTACTTTGAAACGGAAAGCGAGTTTTCCTAAATCAATGACCATTTTCTGGTAAAACGATTTTAGTCATATTAAATGATGTGTTCAAATTCCCAATGCTTTGCGATGTTTTACATTGGGAATCTGTATCATATCGGCTTTCTGCAACTATCAAAGACATTATACCTACTTTCCGGTGAAATACGTAACACAATTATGAATTAACTTTTGCCTTGATTGTTTTTATAAAGTAACACAACACGCGTGTGTGCCTGAGTTTGAATACTTAGACAACTGTCAAAATTACGTTTTATTCATCCCTCCACACGCACTTGCACTTCTAAACTACATTATAGCAGTAGAAAGTTCCGATACAATAGCAATAGTATACAGTAGATTTAACGACACGAAGGACTCTTCCACTTACTTGTTTTTGAATCTATCTCCAAGGTATCCCGCGCGTGGCAGTTAATCACCGCAAGAGTCAGCAACGTTATGAAACATAAGACATAATAACAGAAAGAGGAAATCCTTAACATCTTCAGAAACCGGCAAGTACCAATTTCAACAAACAGACTGGTACTGCTGGCTTTGCTTTATTTGACACCAGTTTGGGCGAAGTTTGCGTGTGTTGGTCATCATTCCATTTTATATACCCATCTGTTTATTAAAATTAATAGACTCTAATGACCACCTCTGCAATATCTGAAATATTAATTTGGAGATCTTATCAATATGAGCCTGGAAGAGACAAAGGACGGATTGTGATTTGATGGATACTAAGGAGCTGAGATAAGTCCTTTTCTCCCCTGCACTACGCATGACACGTCTAAAGTAGTTATTATACTTGGGCAGGAGTTTCCACTTTTGAACAAGTTATTACAGCTGCCATGTTTTTAGGTGGTATATTTTTCGTTTGATTAACGTTTGTTTTAAGAAAGAAACCTACTAGGGGGCGACTGTTTTCGCCTCTTATATTCGCCAAAGAATTTAATGAATGAAATTAAATTAAAAGAAATAATAAAAAATAAAAATTCGAACGAATTCAATTCTTGATAATGTTATTAGTATTTTACTAATTTGAAATGATGATTATGATTTGAACTTTCAGGGAATTTATACTCTCAGCCAGCAGAAAGATCATTTACAGAAAAGACCAACAGACATTATAAAAATCTCCCCTTTTTTGAAGCTACCAAACGATTTCAGTGCCCTTTTCTCTAAGGCGACCTGTAGGTGGTAGAGACGGTATACATATATGAATACTACTATTTATAATTATTTGCAAGTATACAAGATATGCAATGGATAACTTATACATTAGTCAACATGTTTTTGTCAGTTACTGTAAACAAACCCATTAAACCAAATGAAAGAAATCTTTGTATGCAGTATATATGAGTTATTCATAACACACCCGACTGAGTTGCTGAAAATGTACAGATACAAGTAATAATAATTTTTATCAGATCTGTCCAGTGAAAAACACTCAGAAGTGAGAACCATTTATATCGGCGATAAAGTGTAAGATGGAGCACAGTTGGCCCCAGGGTCGGGGCAAGTTGGCCCCCTATAGAAAAACGGAGTAAATATCCCACGTAAACGCCTTGTAATACATTTTTATACATTTTAAATTTATTAAATTGACTTTTGAGAGTCTTTGATGAATAAATAGTTCAAATGAGGCAGATTTATTGAGGTTTCCGTACGTCACGTTGTAGGGGGGGTATAAGTTGCAAGAAGCTGAATATCTATCAATAAAATTTGTTTTATTTTAATAAAGAATTTATTAATAATGGTATAAAGCAGGTTTTAAATGAATGAAAACGAATAATAAATTTTCGTTTTAAAAGAAAGTTACATATTCAGTTTTAAACCATTGAATTTGTTTTAACAATGGTCTCTAGCTGTGTTGCGCGCAAAGGTTTGTGGGTAATATGAGGGTCCAACTTGCCCCGAGTCAAGGGGGCCAACTAGCCCCGGGTGCACACTTTTTATTTTAAAGGATGGCAGCCATTTATGGTGCTAGAATGAGCAACGATGATACGTCTCTGTGAATCTTGAAACAATGAGCTTCAGTTTGATGTCCTATACATATATTATATTCGATCAAAAGCCTATGAAATAGATTTTTTAATCTCTTTAACAAAATTACTTTTAGGTGCAAAAATACTTTATTTCGACTCATCGCTTAAGTAAAACTTTTTAATGTCCGACACTTCCTTAGCATTGTAGGCTACGGTCACTTTACAAGAATATGTGGCCAATTTTTTTACCTCGTAGTTACTTTGTCATAAATTGACGGGGGCCAACTTACCCCGGGGTCCAACTAGCCCCGGTCTCCCCCTATACACGCGACACGCGCGTTTTAAATGGATTTGCTCAAGCTTAAGACCTGTCGAACATGGCTTCTAGGTCAAGGGGACCAATGAGTCTCTATCACGCTCATTGAGGTGACAGACTGGCCATGCATGACCATGTAAATTCGCTTTAATCAAATCCGGTGTGACAGGAATGGAAGTCCTAGGAATGGAATTCCGGGCTCCCTTATGAATAGTACAGGTTAGGGTTAGTTGGAGGATTGGGGTTAGTATATAGGACGAATGTCACCTGTAGAAAGTAATCGGAAGCGGACTACGGTTCCTAAAGGAATACCATTCCTGTTACACCAGTTTACGCAAAAAAGTAAAGAAATGCCATTATTGTATTTTATCTCATTTATTGCCTCCAGACAAGAACAAAATACGTATAAGGTACTGAATCTTGAAATCATACACAGAACTTCTTACTTGCATTTATTTTCGTTTATTTCTGCTTTAATTATTTTGAGGAACGAGTGTCGCTGCATGTGTGCGCGTAATGTTCAACAAAATGTTTACTTCATAATTAATTAGTTATCAATTATTCTTGGTGATGATAAAAACGAAGTCAAAAATATTAATTGGACCAGAAAAGAAAAAAAAAAGAAATACAAAAATACTCAATAATAGTTTTTTTGATATTTTACTGTATTTTGGAGTAAATTGGTCACAATTTTAAAAAGTCTTGTTATTATAGTAAAAAGAGTAACTTCGTTATAGGCCAAGCTTTTAAATTTGAGGAAGTCGAGAATTTCATATTTACTTATTGCTTCAGTGGTTTACTTGCAAAAAAAAAAAAAAAAAAAAAAAAAAAAAAAAAAAAAAAAAAAACTTTAGTTCGGATGCAAACATACCAGTAATTAAGTATTCTTTGCAGCTATATCAATCTGACTCCATTTCCTTTGGTTTTTATAAAATTAGAATAAGGAGATAAAATAAAAATTGTATAAATTGTGAGAAATAAATTTTCGGAAGATGTCACTCGCTTTCTCCTACTACAGAATAGGCTCTAATGACTCCATCTTATCACTCAGTCTTTGAAACGTTTCGGAGAATATTAAATTGCACATTCCAAGCATCTGTAACCATCCTTTAAGTTTCATATAGTAATGGCAAACGCAGCAGCCGCGCGGGTCTTCATAAACCAATTAAATTATCCTTTTGCTAAGTTTCTTATACAAAAAAAACAAAAACAAAAAACGTTGCTGTGATTGATGTGTTAAGACGAGAATCCACAAGTCCGTTTAACCAAGGAGTTATAACAGAAGGAGATTACACGCGTGGGGGCGGAGCCAGCATTACGGTCTCTCATTGGTCGGNTTGGCATAAAAGTGGTAACCTATCTTATGATAACGCAGAATTGCTCCAAGGGGTAAGGTGTAAACACAAAACTTAAGCGGGCCAAGCACGCTCCCCTGAGGAACACCAAATAAAAGCTGTGAGAGTTCAGAAAGCACACCATTTATATTAACTTGATGTATTCTCCCAACAAGATAGGATCGTAAAAGATCTAAGGCCTTATCTCTAACCCCTACACTCTGCTCTAGAAATGTCAATAAAATATTATGGTCTACTGTGTCAAACGCAGCAGACAAATCTAACAGTACCAATAACATAGCAGAATGTTTGTCAACACCACTTAACAAATCATTTTTAATTCTCAAAAGTGCAGATTCTGTGCTATGATTGAATTTGTAGGCTGACTGCATTTCCTCAACAAGATTGTTTGCTTCTAAATGCTTAAATAGTCTAACTGCTATAACCCTTTCTACTACCTTAGATAAAAATGACAAAATATATATATATATATTTGTATCTATTAAGAAATCTATTTTCTGACAAAAGAATTTTGCTTACCAAATGGTGCATGGCGTATTTTTGTCCTCTTTAAATCTTAACTGATTCTTAAGTAAATAATATGGACCATCTACCATAAAAAAAATAGCCTGAACAATTCTTACCTGATTCAATCACATGGGTTTTCTTTGCCTTCGATTCCCGGCTTTTCTTGCTCTTTTTTACTATAATTTCCTCCTCCTCCTCACTGTTACTTGATATCTGAAGATTAGTAATAATAGTAAAAGATAATTCATCTTTCTCCAAAGATGTATGCAAAATATGATCAAAGAAGATATTGTGCTTATAGAGGTTTGAGTTTATTTTAAATCTACACAAAACTTTTGCATGTTTTGAATGATACACATGTATCCATTTCCAAACCTTTTTCCTTTTGGATCCAGACTTCTTTTCTTTTTTCTTTTCTTTTTCTTTCTCTCTATCACTTAAGTCACTGTCATCAACAATCATAACACTGTCTTCATCTTCCTCATCTTTTCCTTTCTTGTTCTTCTTGCCACTACTTTCCTTGCTGCCAGTCTTCTTTTCTTTCTTTTTCCCATTTTCTGAACTTCTACCATTTTCTACTACTGGTGTTTTTTCACTCTCAGACTTTTTAGAAGAAGTCTTTTCATCTGAGTGCTGCTTTAACTTTTTAGGGCTTTTGTAATCTTTAGTGTTATCATTGACATCTGGCTTAACAGATTTGTTACCACTGGTTTTCTTTTCTTTTGATCCAGGTTTTCTGTTCACTGATTTGTCTGAATGTTTTACTGGTTCTTTGCCATCTACTTTGGGCTTCTCTGGTTTTCTTTCATCCTTCTTTTCTTTTGGTTTAAATTTCCCAGCTGCAGGTCCAAAAAAGTTCCTGATATCCTGTAACGGGTAAAATGAAAAACTCATGCATCGAAAGCATTAATTGTTTTGGTTCTTTTTTAGATAAATCTTACAATTGGTTTCTTTCCCCACCAAAGTTGGATACCAAAGTTAAAGTATAGGGGATGCAAGGGGGTGGGGGTGGGGGGTGGGGGGGGGGCAAGTGTCATATTATTAAACAAAACTAAGGGTGACAAGGTTAAATTACCTTCCTGAAACATCTGCTTTAAACTCTGTTATTCAAAATCCAGTTCCGAAATCATTCAGTAATGGATCACAATGCCAGTAGACAAAGGGGTGGGTGGAGAGAGAGAGAGAGAGAGAGAGAGAGAGAGAGAGAGAGAGAGAATGAGGGAGGTACATGTAGCTATATATAGAATATTAATCCAATTAAAAGTGTGAGTTCAACAAAGTCTATCTATACACAACACAGGTCTGACATCTAGGATGAAGAATTTGTTTAAAGCTCACAAACAAGCAAAAGTTATCCAAATTATGACCGACGAACTAACACTAATACAAATAATTTTAGCTAGCAAGCATCGGCTGTGAAGAAAGGCCTGTGCCTCATCTCACAGAGTAAAGTTTTATGGTCTCAATAACCAGTACGATGCTCATACTTAATGCCCATACCTACCATGCTTGAATATGTCACCTGCTGCAAATCGTGGCGATTAAGCGGAAAAGACCATTTCAGTTCGCATCATGTTTCATTTCGCGCCACTTTAAGCAATGCGCATGTTCGATGACCTATTTGTAGTCTCGTCTCGTCATATTCTTTCACGGCAATCAATGGCTATGGTGACACATTATTTTGCTGTATTAAAGTACATAATTTTTGGATTGCTTAAACATGATTCCATACATCCAAATTTCAAATTCAATCACCACAGAGCAGCAAAAATAAGGCTCATATACATCAGGGTCGTGTGCATGCATGGATGGCAAGGTAACACCGATTATACATCAAGTGACTTACTGGTTGGGAAAGACGAGAGCAATGCATTATCGATTAATTCACTTTTCGCAAGGTCAAACACACCAAATCTGGTCACTGATATTCGTATTATTTTATTTACAACTATGAAGACCTATCTAAGACCTATCATCAGGTTCCCATTATTACCTTGTTCTAAATCAGTGCTGGCACAATATTCCATAATGTTAAAAGGCCGGTAGGCTTATACATTCCGTTTTCCATAAATCAACTATTTCTGTTTGTTTTGTAACAGAGACTTTGCGAGACGAAAGGGATTTTCATTTCCGTATATGAAAGTTTTACACGCCTAACATTCTCCATATATTTTAAACAAATTAATTTTTTTATCAAATAATTTTTCTTTTACCAGAACCCCAACAATATTGTATAATTTACCTTGTAATTTAACCCCAGAAGTCGCGCACTACAGGATATCGTCAGTGGGTGACCCAATCATTAAAACTTCTACAGAGATTCCCAAAATTTACCGAGTTTTAAGTACAGGTAGGCTATACTGATCATATAGCTAGCAGGTCTACCGTTACGTACGTCTCAAACTCTGCACATGGAAAAGAATTTAACGACTACACGTTGTAACTTCAACAAAATGATATTTTACTCTACTTAATTAGTGGTTGCATCATGCAACGTTGTCAAGTCTCCGATCCGCTTCGATTAATCAAGATCTCCACTTTTCTGTAAGATTTTTATACACAATTATATGAATCAAAATGTCAATCAACCACGTGTCCATCAGAAACTGCATATGATTTGTTATACCCCCGTCACACCTATTCGGAATCAGCAGGAATGAAGAAGAATGAGCCCGAACGAAGAATTTTTAAAATTCGAACCACATTCGGGCAAAAATTTCAAATTGACCTTAATTATTGTAAGAGTACCGTTGGAATACTCAGAATGCGCTTGAATTCGCCTGGAATGTTGAGTGCACTTTCGACAATATTAGCTCTCAAAAGCAGTTCGAATGTAGTTTGAAAACTAGGAATATTTATACTGCTGTAAGAAGGCAGTAACAATATTAAGAATATACTCTGAACGGCGCACTAGTGTAGTTCGATTGCTGGCAACATAAATACTTCAGCTCATCCGAGGCACATTCGAAACATTCTGGCGGGATCTAAAATCCCCGTCACACTAGAGGCGGAATGATTAAGAATGGCGTCTGAAATACAATTATTTGTGCATTCCAGGATATTCGAAGAGCATTCTAAAAACATTTTAAAAATTCTGAGTGCATTCCAAATATTTTTGCCCATTCTTGTGGCCGGCTCGAATGTTTTTGTCATGTCAAAAACTTTCGAAGTGCATCCCAAGAGGAAATTTATCGCAACATCCCTACAGTATTCCAACTACATTCGAGCTGCATTTGAGAGGTAATATACCTGGAATGTGCAAGAATCAATCTAGGCGGGTTCGATGTGCATTCTTAGTATTCCAGAGACGTTATTACAAAGGCGTAATATTTTATGATAATTTGAAATTCCCTTCCGAATATGGTACGAATTTTTAAATTTAGTAATTCCGGCTTGATTCCTACTGATTTCGAAATGGTTTGACGGGGGCTTTAAGTCACTTGTCAGTTCGAATATTCCTCTAATGTGATCAGAATGTTTCGAATGCTGTCGGAATGCCGTGAGAATATTTAGAATGCAGTCATAGTGCAGTTAGAATACTGTTCAAATGCTATTCGATAAATTTCCACTTGCAATGCACTTCGAAAGTTTTTGACATGACAAAAACATTCGGGATGCCACAAGAATGGGTAAAAATATTTAGAATACACTCGGAATTTTTAGAATGCTCTTCCAATATCCAGGAGCGCACAAAGAATTGTCTTTCCGACGGCATTCTTGCTCATTCCGCCTCTAGTGTGAAGGAGCTTTTACTTGCACCAAGGAGTTATAACAGAAGGAGATTACACGCGTGGGGGCGGAGCCCGTATTACGGTCTCTCATTGGTCGGAATGAATAGAACCCAGAGAACAATAGATGCCTATCTCTGTTACGCTTAATTGCTACTCTCGTTTAAATCTCGTTTGTTAGTATCTGTGCCTTCGTTTGTTGATTTTTGAGGACAGACACAGAAACGGAGTCCCAAGTTTCTAAAAAATGAGAGAAATACAGAATTTATATGATATTACGTTGGACAAGGTTTTCAAAAAACAGGTAAGTGCTTTTAAATGCATAACTACACGAAATATGAAGATAAATTGCAACTTTTATGTCGTAGGGTCTCACTGTGTAAGTGTCCAGCTACACGTTGATCTCGCGAGGTGGTGTGTGGAGAATAAATATTGCACGAAAAATATTTCCCACTCATAACAAGTGCCTATAAATATAGTATCAGATGAAGAAAGTTTGGTCTTTATACAGTTGCAATTGTTAAGTAATTTGTGGCAATAGCAAAGAATAAAACTTAGGTGCACTTTCAGTAGCCGAATAACAAGCAGATGCTTAAGCCGCCATCTTGTTAATATTTCGAAAAAAAATTACTCCAAAAGACATTTTCCTCCTACTTTTTGAAACTTGTGTCACATGACAGTCATAAAATTTAACTAATTGTTATGTGTGCAACACACTTGCTTGAGCAGTATTGGTTTTTTTTGCGATTTTACATGTGGTCTAGCTTGGATACGACAATTGACAATTTTCATGAGTTCCGATCAAAAAGTGTTACGCTTGTTACGGCCAAAAGCCTTACCGCTTTTTGTACTTTTCAAATGCAAGATTATAAAAAAATTTGGTGTGTTTAGATTCTTGAACATCTTGGTCGTGGCGTGGTATATATTGCATGGGTATTGCTCCAATATTTCTTGAAAAAAATAACCTGATTTGTTCAGAATACCAATTTTTTACTCTAGTGTTATGGGTAAATGTACCATTTTGGCCTTTACCTTTTTCGTGTTTAAAACTAAAAAGACTTATCATGACAGTTGGTCATCATTTTTCTTCTCACAATGATGGGTGGCTTTGGAGTGGTAACTTTGTTGTTAAAGTAAGGTGCTCAGTTATTTTGCCTGGAAAAGTTCTGTTATAACTCCTTGGTTTAACTTTTACAAGATGGGAATTACTGTCAGAAACAGATATGACTGGCTTTTGTAAATTTAGGTCAAATTTTAATTTACTTTACTGCCACTGGGGTCGCTAGTGTCTATGATATGTGGAGATTGGGTGTCTAAGCAAGGGGACGTCTACAGCAGCTATGACTAATATTAATTCAATAATTTTTAACCAACCTTATGATACAAACATAGTCGAATTTCGTTTTTTCCTATCAGATCAACAGACCAAGCAAATTTTCAGACATTTTTAAATAAATACATGTGCAACATTATTTTTACCAATTAAGTGGTTATTTTGAGTGCAGCGTATTTCATATTTCATACATCATTAGAGGAACAAAGTGGTATCAATTTAAGTTGTTAGACCTTGATTGCCATCAATTTAATATAATTTCACTGTCAGCCTATAGGGGATGTCTATTCCATAATAGGTCTAAGAAACATCTGCCTGAATGCTAGGGATCAATTACCCCCCCCCCCCCAAACTCTTTTCTCTCTGAAAATTCCGTGGTAGTTATTCAAGGGAGGGCAGAATGCGTGCCAATGCTTGGATGTGGGAAAGCTCATGTTTAACTCAACTTTTAGAACAATGCAAATAGCCTAAAAGAAGTTCAGGCACCCTCTCTTGCTCCTCTTTATTTCTACAGCCTTGAACGATTTCTTGAGGACAAATTCCTCTGACTGTTTTATCTTCTTATACAGCACTTCATGATACCGCCTTAAACCTGTGTCATATGATATGTCATATGGTGCTAGGAGCTTATTTATGACATTATCTGCTCGTTTAAATCATTTCATGCGTTCATTAATTTAAGGTTTGTTGGTTAAAGCGTAGAAGAACTTGCCTATTTTGTCAAGATGGGGTACGAGGCCATCGACCCTAATTTTGAGGCTATCTGATTTTAAACCCTTTTTGGAAAATAGCACTGGAGGTTGGTTTGGTACGAGTAAGCGGAAGAAATTTACTGCTAGACCCAGAAAAAAATGTATATGTTGTTTTATACGCTGTGGATTAGACATTTATCTCCCTAGAATAAAATTTAAAAAAAAAAGAAAAAAAGACCGACCAACCGCCGATTAAGTTCAGCTGCAGACTATATGAAAAAAGTACAATCCAGCCACCTAACTTGTTGGCAGAAAGCCACAACTAGTTAAACAACTTATCACGTATGCCTGGCCTTGTCCAGATTATATTGTAACCAGTTTTATTTGATAATGGCGTTTATTCTGGAACCTGTCCAAAAAGGGGTGAGTCTGACAAAATTTGAGACAAGAAACGTAGAAACGATTTTACCATTCTTACACAAAAGAAAATGAAAGCACGTCCATCAGAGACTCGCATAAAACAAGGATTTGGGGTTTGCGGCAAGGAAAAGCATATCTTATCTTCCAGTCGTTATTACAAACCGCATCGCCTTTATGACCATCATCATCATCATCATCATTATCATCATTTAGAAAAGGAACACATGTTGCTTACTTATATCATATTACATACCTAATCTGTATATAAATAATCTTTAGACACTTTTAATTGTATTCTTTCGGGGTTAATATCGACATATTCTACAGAATATTATATCAAAAGGAATCATCTTCAAGGCTGCGCGATTTAGTAACGCCCGCACACTCCACCATACAAAGTCGACCATACCAAGCCCGTCATAAATGTCATTTGACCCCCTTCTCTTGCGTAATTACACAAACAATTTAGTGCATACGTGTAAAAGGGTCAGTGCGAGGTAAAGTGGTCAGTGGTCAAATAAATAGTGCATTTTTGGAAGCGACTGTCAGTCTTGTGAGTTGTATGAAAGGACAGCACACCAGAGCAATATGAAGGGAGGAGTACTTTGCCTCGCCGCACTGTTGATTGCAGGGATCAAACTGCAGCAAGCGGCACATATAAATAACGAAGGTACGTCGAATAATTTCTTATCTTATGATCAAATGTGCAGATGAGTTCTGTGGATTTACTTTTTTTCTCACCCTTTCATGGTGAAAATATTAATTATTGATAAAGGATCAGATCCAAGGGTAAGACTTTGAATGCTCCGGATAACAGTTTTAGATCAAAGAGAAACTTTTCACGACGTCTTGCAATTGTTCATACTGGCAAAACAGCTTCGTGCTGAGTAGTGGTCATATCGTGTATACAGGTCGTGTCCTTCTTTTAGCACTGTTTATGCGATATGACAACTATTGAAACAGTCTATGGTTCCTAGTAGAATAATGAAAAGGCATATCAAAACCTTGATCAAAATCCTATGGAAATATAGAAAAAAATTATTGATCACTTTGTTAAAGGATCTTGAAGACAGTTTGTGCCAGATTTGCAAATTACTTAGGCCTGGTGTGGCAAAATGCTGAATGAATGACAATTTTTGTTGCATTTCTATTAGCATGAACATAATCTTTATTATCTGAAAAACCGTACTCATACCAAGCCTATTATAATACTAATAACACAATATCCCCTCCAACTGCGCTAATGAAAAGATGCTTAATACAAAGGAAAAAAGTCTGTTGCGTATTCAATAATAATAATGCACGTTCATGTACACGTATACACCAGAATCGAAGTAATGGAATTTACTAAGGTAGTGATTTCACGGAAAGTGAAGGATTTACCCCTCCCACAAAAATAAGGCCTTGACAATAAGGTGAAAGTGAAAAGCTCGGGAAACTGACATGACACAAGCGCATCTTTCTCTAGGGTTCTAAATTATACGCTCTCGACACCATAGGAAATAAGGTGGAAAGTGCATTTGTTTAGAAAGAAGAAATAGTAGTCCATTGAACTAAATCTGCTTATATATCCCCTCTGGAAGTATCGAATTTTTTCCTGGCGGTCGCACGCTCCATCTAACACGTATATTTTGTGTAAATAAACGTGAAGTACATCACGACGCTTTTCACGTTGTATTAGTCTGTGGGGATATCTTTAGAAACCATGTTGCATGCTGTACATTGTTTACCATGTTTACATTTAATACGTAATAGCAAACCTGTGACAGTCTAGCCCAAAGTAACACAAGTAATGTACCTTCGTGTGCGAAGGATTATATAATTATAATATCAACTTATGTAAATTTCTTGAAAATGAAACATTTCATAAATGGGAAGAATTTTCTGGTTCATTGACCTAAGTACACGTACTTACGGTATATTGCACGTCTCTCTCTAGACTTGCAAAATTAGTTAAACTGTAAAACTGAAGGCAGTTAAGAGCGATTTAATATGTAATGCGTGAGAAAATGTCTAGACATAGGCGTGACATTGTTTTCTCTAGCGGCACAATCAGGCCTTATAAACGGATTAGGCGTATGCTAACACTACCCGCAGATCTTTCAGCACTAACGCTCATATTAACAACATAACCCACGAATTAACCAACACACCGTACAATTATTTAGCAACCACAAAGCGATACTTAGCACTTACTTTCATCTGCTCTGGTAGTGCTGGTTAATTTGTGGATATGGTGGCTAGTGTGGGTGTTGGTGCTAAAAGATTTGCGGGTAGTGTTAGTAAACGCCAGCCTAATCCGTTTGTAAGGCCTGATAAAGAGGTCACTAGTACCTTAGCTGGGATACAGGTTATTTACGATTATATTGTTGAGTGTTATATAACATTTTGGGACATAAGTTGTAAAGAAAAATATGTAAAAATGTGTAGTAAAAATATTGTATTGATGATACTGAACTTTCGGGAAAATAAAATCAAAACGCCGCAGAGAACAGAGCGGAATATTCTGATTTTCAATTTTGGTTTTTCTAAATATTTTATAACAACTTCACTATGGATTTGATCAATAACCCAAATTAAATGCACACGATCGTATTGAGTAATAAGAGGCGAGGGCGCACCTTCAACTCAAAGGAGCGCCACACGCGCAAATCCCAATGCTGCATGGTTTAAAACTATTTCTCCGTATCGCATAGAAGTAAATATCTCGAAAACTTCCGTACGCAAAATGTTCGATCCATAAAAGAGCAAATGCACGTGCAAATACTTAAAACTTCTTATTCATTTCTCACAGAAAAAGATTTGTCAGATGCCGTTACAATTTATGAAAATTAAGATTTGCTTAATTTTGATACGATTGATTTTTTTATTTAAAAAATTAATAATTTGATAGCTGAAGCCATCCGCATTTTGGTATATTGTCTAAAAACGAAATCTGGTTCATACACTCTTTGAGCTTCGTTTGAGCAGCCGCACCCGGAGAAATTCGTGGAAGAATACCAGCAGCCACGTGCCGAAAACAAGGTCAATTACAATAGATTATTGCATCACTGCATACTTGTGCCCTTGTCTCGATGTTGCCATAAAGTGGTTTAGCACTGGTCATCTGGGCAGCAATTTGATACAGGTGGTTGACCAGCCAATTACGCTCTGGTTTAACAATGTAAACAAGCGGGATCAATGCGTCGTTAGTGTGTTCTAGAACTCGTATAATTTGGCTGCGTGGGTCTGTGCGCATCCTGAGGGTAGGGTCTACCATAGGCTGAGTCCTTTTCTTTTGGTGATTTTACCCTGGCAAATGCACAGACTATATCCCTATTATTTTCCATTATATTTCACTTGTTGTGGAAGTCTTATAATGTGCGCCAATAAACTGGCATTCGGTCTCCTGATTTTTTCACACGGTCAATAGAGAATCTTAAAGAAGCATATGAAATGACATTTGCTTTGCCCAGCTTTTCCGAAGCTTTACACCAGATATAGGCACACAGACATATAAATGTGATCTTTACTTTTGGGTGGTGGATATTAGGTATGGGATATCACCGCTGCCGCTAGAGATAAAGAAATGTATTGACATGCAGATTAGTACAGAGGGTACTTTCGCTGACGCATATCCACATCAGATTGCTTACATTGGTACAAGTAGTGCGTTTCCACAGCTGACAAAGAGGCCATTCAGAATGAGAAGAGCCGAGTGCTACCTAGGCCATGACATAAATATAGGCCACGACCTAGGCCTCGACAGGTTGAATTGAGCCGATATTTAATTACTGTGACCCTGCAGGGACGACACGTGGGGAGGCGTGTAAGAAGCGGAGAGGCCATTACAGGATTAAGCGGTCTTCCTTTCATGTAAGTCCGTCATATTTATGTCGTGGCCTAGCTAGCACTCGGCTCTTCTCATTCTGAATGGCCTCATAGATGTATGCATTTCTGGTCTGTACTTCTTTGGTGACATCGTGATGGTAATAAGACCCGGGTGTCCATGTTACTTAATGGTTAATACACAACTCCCATAACATGGGTTCCTTTCACACAAATTAGATCACGACTCGTACAATGGAATCATAAAGGCTAAACCTTGATGTCAAGGTTTCTTTTGTACAACAATGCCCTGTTCGTGATGGAAGGAAAGTCAACCAGAACACGAAAACCAAAGATACATGTAATTGGGGTTTACGTCCTTTAAGGTGTCATGATTTTTATATATAACACGCTGGACACAATGGACCGAATGGATTCAGCCCTGTAGTTATCGACGCTCTCCCTCTCTGCACTTTCCCAAAGTAAGCCAAAAATTAGTTGCTTTTCAGTTTTTTCTCTTAGAAAATGTGATTCTCCTGTCTGTTGAAACATCCCAACTTTTTCATCTTCGGCTCTTTCCATATGTCTGGTGTGCTATATTTGCAACATTTCAGTTCAGAAGGTTGAATTGCAAGAATGGGACTACTGCTGAAACAGAAGCATTAGCCTATTTGTATAATCACATTTATCTCAACTTTTTGTTTTCATCATCTGCTTTGATTTGTTATTTGTGAAGGTAATTTTGTAGCCTATAACGATGCTTTTCAACTTATAAATGAATATTTGTATTGGTAAAATCTTGTAGGAGCGACACCTGTCACAAATAAATAAAGTCACTATTTCAATGTTTTAGACATCGAAGTGGTCACCATTAGGGAGGTGACAGACCCAGTCGAGCGCGAGCTTGGCACTGACCAGCCTGCTGCACGGTACCAATTTGACGCCCACGGCAAGAGCTTTGATCTCCGTCTGAAGAGAAACAACCGAATCAACTTGAGAACGACGCCCGTGCACTACTGCGACCACACTGGGAGAATTACAAAGAAAGCTCTAGGGAGCGATGACGTAAGAGGTTTTTTATTTTGGGTTGCCATGTTTGCGTTATATGATTAAGAAAGATCCAAAATCTGTAAAAGAGGATATGAATTTACCTCTGTTTCTCTGTTTGTCACCAGCCTAACTCAAAAAGTTCTAGGTGGATTTTGATGAAATTTTCAGTATCGGCTGGAAATAGGCTAACTTAAAGATGATTAGATTTTGTTGGTGCTCCGTGATGCAGATCATCATTTGGATCCAAGAACTGCTTAAAGGATTCTCCATCGTCTTGAAATAGAGCCTTGACCCGCCCAGCAATGAAAGTGCTCTCAACTACCGCAATCTATCAGTGTAAATTTCTTGGCGGAGGTCTTCGCTCTACCTTTTTAGTTGATTTATATTATTGATTAAGTGTCCGAATGTTATAAGCCATTTTGAACATGTTTTTGAAACCTACACAAATGAAATTATACATAAGACTTATAGCTTCACTTCCATCTACGCCATCTGTTTCAGGATTTCACTCTCTATCAAGATAAGGCCAGCAACGCCGCTGTTGCAGTATATACCGATAAAAGAGATGCAAAAAATCAAAAGAAAATGGTGAGTTCAGTTTCCCCTCAATGTAAGAAGAAACGAAAATCGCCACAAGTAAAATACAGTGTCGTGCAAACATATCACAGACTTTTTGATTACCAGACGACAGCGAAACATTTGCACGGAGATCGTTATGTGTTTGCATAAGCTTCTTCGAACACATAGGGATTTTTCTCTGTATTCGAAACGAACCCAAAGTGACATATGGTTTAAGAATTCCTATCGCATTCGTGTCAGGTCTTGCTAACCTACTGAACTCTCTCTCTCTCTCAATAATACCTACCTCCATTAACACCTTGTAAAAATTAGATTTTTTAAATTTCACAGGAGGGTTTTGTTATCGATGCAGACCAAATGTATGAAGTTCGTCATTTAGAGGACGACAAATACGTCGTGGCCCGTCAGAACATAGAATCAAAACCCCCAGGAGAGGAAGACGTCGACACATATGCCGGTAGGTAAATACAGGTTAAAAGTTTTTGCCTGATTAAGAACTTTTTTTCAGACGTTTCAACATCAAATTTTGGTGTCTGTTTGAACAGTGCTCAAACGGTGTGAGCGCTACATTACGTAGAAATGTAGATGGTTACTGCATGTATAGGCCCTATACCCGTATTAAGCCAACATGGTAGTCATGTTTTTTATTAATCCCGAAGTAAAATAATAATGCATTAAAATATTCATCCGTGCCTGAAATTGTTGGAACTTTCACTCAATTAATAACAGAATAAAGAAAAACACTGTTTTAGGTTTACCCTTTTAACGAGACACCGATTTTACCTTCTTGGTAACTATTTTTTGTACGATCCATGCATTGTACAATTACTTAATGAACAGATTATAATTCCATTCTATTTGATATAAATATTGAATGCATGGCCATTGCGTTTTTTTCTACCTAATAAATAACACATACTGTTAAAATGTCCACTTGTTACAGAGAAACCAACACGTCGTCAGCTTCATCTCCATGTTCGCCGGTCAGCCGACGAGTCCACTCTCCTCCGGACCCTGATGGACGTGCTGACCGCTGTAAACAAGCAGAAAGCCGATAAAGCCATAGAACTTAGCAAGAAACAGACATATAGTGGGTCCCACATTGACGCCAGCGTGGAACTCATGGTGTGCACCGATGACACGATCTGGACCTACTTTTTGGGGCGGAATAACCAAGACGCTGCTGCGGCGGAAACGGAACTGAAAAGATACTACGCTCTGATAACTAATGGGGTAGGTTTTTTTCTTTGAATTTTGGCATGTCATTTTATTGCACATGTCATTTCGAAGACCACTGTTGTAAAATTACAGAAAACATATTGTTTCAAAGTGATCTACATGCACTGAAACCTGAAAAATATTATCTCACACATTACTCTCATTAATTGATATTTAATTTCATACGATGGATTAGTTGTTTTATTTCAGATAAATCTGAAAACTTTTTAAATTTATGCTGAATATTGAAGTGTCCAATAATAAGAGTGTCCATCAAATGAGAAAGATTGCTATGCCATTCCTTTAAAGGACGCACAGTATCTATCTATCTATCTATCTATCTATATCTATATATATATATATATATATATATATATATATATATATATATATATATATATATATATATATATGCCTACGCAGAACAAATAACGACATTGTTAGCTGTGATGTCGAAATATTATATTTGTGCGAGTGATTTAATAATATACAGTATATACTAATTGTAACAATCATTTATTATTTTTTCTCCAGATGGACCTTCGCTACCAGAATATTGAGGATCCAGATTTGAATATTTACGTTGTGTTGGCAGCATATGCTATTGTGCAGGTAATATTTGCTTTGTATTCTTCAACTGATCACTGCACAGAACTAGAACTATCATTGGTACACGGGAAAGTAAATACGGCAAATAAAGCATTTTAATTAATGAGTGACCCGTGGTGGTGCACCTCGTTCGAACAATTGTCACTCCGTTATCCCAATAGCCAACCAAACTGCACGATATTATCCAAAGTAAATAATTGTCTTATTGCTGCATCATGAGATTGAATTACATGGATCAGTCTCGCTGTTTTTTAAGACGTAAAGGGTACATGTGGGTCACGATTTGCGCAGAGCATATGGGAACTTGTTCGCTTTCACGTTATTAAACGATTAATAAGTTCCTTTGTTTAATTCACGCAATTTGCCGTAGAAGGGAAACAATTGCGCCTAAAACGTCTAAACTCGCTTTAATTGTAAATAAGCGTACGGTAGTGGCAAAATGTTTTAAGGGGAAAAGATATTACGGAAGGTGGCGATACTGTGTAATAGACTCCGCTGGATTGCCAAGATTTAAAAACGGTAAGCTTCTATATTCCTCAGGGCGCCGGTGGGGCACCTTGGTTTAGTAATAACGTGCTACCAGGGGAACCGGAGAAAAACGGAAGGAAAATGGTGAATAAAACATCCTCCCTGAATGACTGGTGCAAGTACCGTAATGACAACTACGGTTCTTTCAGCGAACATGATCACGGAATGGCATTCACTATGTGAGTATATTGCCATTTGAGATTAATTTACACCACTCCATTTCTTAATGTAATTTACAGACTTATAATGTTTTCGGTATTGTTTTTTAACAAAAATCATTGGAATTAAGCACTTCTTTGTTTACTTAATATATGTAAAACCTACATAGACAGATCATTGGCAGCGAAAGATGTACACACCCCTCCCTAAATTTCTAAAATTTTCAAGTAGACATGGCACATTAAATTATATCTATTCTCCTTCCCAATGTTGCGTACCCCAATTTCTGGAATCTCATGTACTTTTTAACAACGACACATTAAGGCTATCAGGGTTTGACATAGTATATGTACATGGGTATTAATCACTTGTCATATTAAATTTTAGGCGTGAAATAGTTACAACTCAGACCGATACCGCTGTTGCCGGAGTGGCGAGAACTGGCGCCATATGCTCCAGGTCTAGTTCCTGCTCTATCGTTGAATCTTTCGGAGGCTTTAATTCATTCATCACCGCTTCCCATGAACTGGGTCACAAGTAAGTGAGCCGCCTGTCGCACACACGAACTGTAGTCCGAAATTGGTCAGAACAGTTTAGAGAACTAAAGTTTGCTCTACTTTAGTTTGAATTCCTTTTAGTATTGGTCTGGAACATTGGCAATGTCACTCTTGTTATAGAACAGCGTGATGTTTCACTGAATTGACTACCTCTCATATATTTTATGTCATATTTAAAGGGATAATAACTCTTCGTTTTGGCCAAAAAATGAATTTCCTGGAGTGAACAACAATTTTCCCATGCTTACCAATGGTTAATGAATCCATTTTTACATTCAAAGTTAGTCCCTGGTTTTTTTCTAAAAAGTTTGGTTTTTTGTTAAAATCTCTTAAGAGATTATAACAGAGTATAGCCATCAATGGAGGTCACGTGATCTGAAGACAAGCTCAGATATCAGAATTATAGCTTTAACTGCTGTTTTCGTCGTAAAACAGAATATATTATATTTCTATGAGTTATTCACAATGTTTTTATTGTGAAATATAGATTTCATACGAAGAGTTATTATCCCTTTAATTAAAAGTTTTGTTTAAAAGTTTAGAAGAATTTTTAAGCTTATGGCTGTTGTTAAACAAGACCATGGGAACATAATCTGTTCTACTAGTGATAACCGTAAATCAGTTTGTATTTTGTTTGAAAATACCAGCCGAGGTCCGATCAGCCTGAGTGATTATATTCACTGTTCATATCGGTCATTTTTATATTGCTGTATTTCACATAATAAGTGCATTTCAGTAACCGGTTCTCTCTCTTCTAAGCTACTAGATATTTTGTTCGTATTAATTATTAAATTCCTTTCTCTATTTGGCATCGTTTTTGGAATTGATTCTGACAAAGAAATCCGCGAAAATACTCGAGTTTTATAAGCAGTCCTGAAGGTTCTCTCTGTGTGTTTCAGTCTTGGAGCTTACCATGACGGTTCGGCTGGAACTTCTGGGGGAACGTCTTATGACAATAGGGCTTGTTCCGCCGGCGATGGGTTCATTATGGCGCCATCATCTGGCAGCTCGGATCCGTCAAAAGGCTATTATTTCTCCACTTGTTCCGTTGCAAATTTCAAAGTAGGATTGGCGTGAGTATAAGTCCTACAGACATCAGCTCTCTCTCTCTCTCTCTCTCTCTCTCTCTCTCTCTCTCTCTC